GTCCTGAGGGTTACATGGAAAAATACCCACAGCAGCAATAACCACATAACAGTCAACAAATGACAGTGTAATTGGTGTCTCATGTGACGTCATTCTAGAACTAAAACAATTGGGAACTTCTGCAGCAAACGGCAAGTGCTGCCGGCTTCCACTTAGCAATGACTTCTGCTCTGACCTAAGCCTTTTTTCCCATGTTGACTCTTTTTTATAAAGGAATTGAAGTATGAATTTATTTTGGTGCCAAACAATTTTGAAATCCCTGTATAGTTTTTTTCACACTATGCATTTTCTGGTTAGTACGTGGATGGGAGACCACATTTTCTCTTTTAACCTCCTCATTTTCCAGAGGCTGTAACTGACTCTCACATTAAAAGAGTTGCCCAAGGCCACACAGGTACAAAGCAGCAAAACCAGGATTTGGTCACAGGCCATCCACCTGTGCCACCTACTGTTTGGATAATGCAGAATCAGTGAACAAAGCACTGTGCTTATATTTTTGGAGCCCTGGGTGTGTCTCGTAAATAAAAAGGCTCAGTTGGATCATTCTGAGGACAAAGTCTTCCCTTTGGGAAGCCCTTGGGAGCCCTTGGGAGCTCTAAATCCCCTGCCTATTTCCCGCTGAAGTAAGGGAAATAGAAGCTAAAATTAATTAAGGTCCAAAGAGGGTTTGATTTTTGAAGAGTTTTATAAAACTACAGAGGAGAACGGGTGTGATTTAGTAATTGAACTTTCCTGGTTGAATTATAATTAATAATTATATTCATTTACATATTTATTATTATAATGACTTTACTTAATTATAGTCTAGCATTATCTTCAGATTGTCCTTTGCTTCAAACAACTACATGAGCCATGTGATGACTCCATTAGATCAGCTGGTTGGTTAACAGATTTATCTGACAATCTTTTTGACCAATATTTACCAGGGGCATACTGACTGCCAAGTCCAGTCCTAGGCTCTGGGGTTAGAAGGATAGATCAAACAAGGCCGGATCTGCCTTCAAGGGTATGTCAGCTAATAAAATAATCATGCCTGTGAACTGCACTGTGAGAACAGCAACAGATGCTGCCAAGTCCCACAACTCTAGCAATGTCTTAGCATGATGGCATCTGGGAGGGAATCCATGCGTTGTTGAATCAATGAATCAGGAGATGAAACCACCAACCCATCTACCCATTTCTCTGTCTCAGGGTGAAAAGTCAAATAAGTGGATTCTGGTTAAACACTTAGACAGGAAAGACAGTCACCAGAAGCGGAAGCAGAGCAAATACCTTAGGGAGGATTTGGGCAGAAATCAGGGATGTTATGGTCACAGTCAGGGCTGGCTGCAGGGCATGTAGCCTTTGCTGTCACAGAGGTCCCCATGCATACAAAAGCCCTATGCTTATTTGAATGCTCTGCTATGCTATCTTAAAATTTTAATGCTTTTTGAACAATAGGCCCCTTATTTTCATTTTTCACTGGCCCCTGCCAATAATACCACCAATCCTGTTGCATTCTTTGCTGGTAAGAAGGATCCAATTTCAGGACAGCAAGCCTTTTATGGTAGAAGTGAGTGACCTGCAGTCCAATAAGGTAAAAGGGCCTTTTCCTGCGGCCATTTCATGAGTTAGTGGCAAGATGAGAAGGGGAGCACAGGTTTCTGACTCCTCCCCAGGGCTCTTTGCCATCTGAATAGGATTCCAACATATAAAGGAAAACACACTTTCTTTATCCTTGAGTGACTATTTACGATATACAAGATCCATGCCACTTATTTTCTTCCATATTCTTACTTTCTGTTTTCTATTTCTGCTATCATATATTTGATCTTCTTACTTCCCTATCACCATTTGTCCGGTGTTACTTTTTAGTGTGTTGGGATTTTTTGCTGCTTTCATGTGGATGTCTGTGTCCCCTCAAAATTCCTATGTTGAAACCTAACCCACAAGGTCACAAAGATGAATACAGTAGGCCACTCAGAAGTGACAGCACTCAGACACTAGAGGAATAGGTCCAGGGTGAGTTTTTCACAGCCATTCAACAACAAAAATTTGTTATGGGTGGAATTATGTAACCCAAAAGATGCTTAAGTCCTAACCCTCCCATACCTTTGACTGTGACCTTATTTAAGGGCCTTTGCAGATGACTGGGTGAAGATGAGGCCATGTAGGTGGCATGATTGGCATTGTGATCAAAAGGGGAAATTGGGGCAGAGACAGACACACCCATAGGAAGAACACCACATAAAGATTGGCATTACACTGCCACAAGCTAAGGGATGTCCAAAAGCTAGAAGAGAGACCTAGAACAGATCCTGCCCTAGGGCCCTCGAAGGGAGCAGTCTTCCTATGCTGATTTTGAACTTCTGGCCTCCGTAGCTGTGAAGAAACAAATTTCCATGATTTAAGTATAATTTATGGTATTTTGTTACAGCAGCGCTAGCAAACTAATATGGTGACAAAGGTCAAGTAGCTGGGACAGGCTAGAACACCCTTCCAGCTAAAAACACAGAAGTGTTTTCCTTTTGAGACCACAAAGCATGTAGAATTTGCCCATCACATAAGAGGGGTTTTCTGTGACCCCATTGTCCTTACCCCATTCTGGTCCTGCCCTGTTGTCATCACCTACAGAAGTCATGTGGAAAGATAATAAAGGAAGTACTCCTTATGAAAACAGAACAGGTTGAATTATGCAACATTCAGAACTGAGGGGGACAGGGGAAGTTTAAGGAAGAAATGGGGGACAAGCAAATTGGAAAAGTGGCATTTACAGTCAAGATTGGCTCTCACTTCTCCTGCTTGGGACTTTAACCCACAGCTATGTGAACATGTGGCAACTGGAAATGTATGGCAAAGGTGGGGGCTGGTGGGTGCTCAGAGGATTCAAAAGATGCCAAAGGAAAGCGAAGCCCAAATCATGGACTCTGGTCCAGCAGCATGAGCATCTCCTGGGAGCTCATTAGGAACACAGATCTCTGCCTGCCTGCCCTGGGCTTACAGGATCAGGAACCCTGGGTGGGGCCCAGCCATCTGCCTTGTAACAAGGCCCCAGAGGATTCTGACATACTAGAGAGTTTGAGGGGCATCTTTCTGGGGAAGGCACAGAAGGGAGAGAAGTAGAGGGAAAAGGAAGCAAGATCCAAAGTAATGCTTCAGACACTACTTTGTCTGAAGTCTGTCAAATCACACTTTCAAAAAAAGTCCAGCTGAAAGAGGAAACCATCAATGATTCCATGTTCCATTTTAACGTGTACATTATTTGATCTTTCAACATGGAGCCGAGGCCATTCACTGACCCTGGGAGTAGGGCAGCAGTATCCTCCACCTTTCTTCCATGGACCACATCCACAGTCCCAGCAATTTCAGGAATGGCTGCAAAGCAGTGAGTAAAGAATTATTCTACATTTTACCATTCTGTATTTTCCCAGCCCTTTCCAGTTCATGGCAATAGCTTTAGTGATTCTCCTTTAAACTCATTAGTATTTATAAAGTTGGTTTATGCATTTTATAGTATACTGTCTTTTGTTTTGCTTCATTAAAATAAGTTACTGGAGCTTGGTAAATTAACTACTCAAGTAACAGAAGCAGAGTAGGGACTCGTTAGTTGTAGGGATCAGCCAGCATGCTTTATTTTTTCCTTTTTTTAAAAACAGCTTTATTGAACTATAATTACATTCCATACAATTCGTCCATTTAAAAATGTATAATTCAGTGGTTTCTAATATAGTCAAATTGTGCAGCTATCCATTTCCAGAACATTCCATCACCCCCAAAAGAAACACATTAGCAGTCACTCCACATTCCTTCTCCCAGCCCTGGCTGCCACTATTTTCTCCCTCTATAGGTTTTTGAAAGAAAAACTGTAACCTGGCTTTTTTGTGTGCATGTGCTCACAAGAGAAATCAAACACCCCTCAATAGGGCATGGTCATGCCACAATCCCTTTTCCTCTATTTCTCCATCCTGTTGGGATTTGGGACATGCATGCACACGCACCAGTATGACTTTCAAGCTTCAGGATCTGGGACTCAGACCGTGATTGGCCATGTGGGAGTCCACCATCTGCTGGCTGCAGGACATGTATTCTTAATAACACACACACACACACACACACACAGACCTCAAGCCTATGACCCTATAAATGACAGGGCACACGATTCCAGCACTCATTGCAAAAGTGGGACAGGAAATGTGGGTCGCTTTACTTTTCCTACAGAGCAGCAACTCTAGTAGAGGATAAACCATATTGGTGACTCAGTAAAGAAACGGACCTCTGTCATTAGAAAATGTGAACATGCTGGGGCCAGCAGGTGGTGTGGTGGTTAAGGCACTGGACTCCCACGTGGTTGACTGCACTTTGAGTCTCGGATTCCTATTTCTTTTTTTTTTTAAGTATTATTTATTTTATTTATTCATTCATTTATTTTACTTTGACCAAAGAGACACAGAGAGAGAGAGAAAGAGAAAAGTGAGAAAGCAAGCCACCAGGTCTGGAACTTGAGCCATGGTTGGCCATGTGGGAGTGTCCAGAGCCTTATCCACCATGCCACCTGCCAGTCCCCTTAAGTAATTCTTTTAAAAAAATGTGGGGACCAGCAGTTAGCATAATGGCTATGTTGCTGGACTCCCACGTAGTCGACCGCAGTTCAAGTCCCAGACCCAGTGGCTTAAACTCACGCCGGGTGCGTGTGCATGTGTGCCCAAGATGCTGAGAGGAGAATGGAGGAGAAGGGACTGCGGCGTGGCCATGCCCCCCCTGGTGGGTGATTTCTCGCTCTCAGTCTCTCTCTGGCGAGCACACGCACCCTATAGCAAAAACCTCTCCAAAAAAAAAAAATGTGAACTTGTACCGCCCGCAGTATTACTGCAGCGTATTTCTTACATTGGGATTTGAGCACCTCGCCATTTCATTTACAGACTATCCTCCTTAAGACTGTGAGTTCCCTGAAGGTAGGTGTTGAACCTTTTCAGTTTTGCATTCCTGTATTTTTTACAGAGTGGACATTACCATTTCATGAACTTTAGCTAGTGAACTCACAGGAGTAATAAATGTTAATATGCGGTGCCAACTTAAACCCTCACCTTGTCTGCCAGTACTTAGTACAGGTTATACAGTAACCCGTTCTGATTCTGAAAAGTGCTATTTCCATAGACAAATGACTTTGTTTAAAGCCTCAACAACTACTCAAAATGTTTTTCAGGTTATATATGGAAGCTCCTCCCAGAACAGGTAATATTTACCCTTGAATATAATCAAGTGTAATCCAGACACAAAGCATCTCTGAGTATCCAAGAAGCTAGTCTTCTGGAAGTGGTGAAAGGTGCATTAAACTGCTCATCTTGTCATCAGGTTCACTTAACAGTTCACTCTCCAGGTCATTGCAAAAAAATACTACAGCTTTTTAAAAGAGGTGAATTCCTGTCTACGGCTTACTTTTCAGTTTCCAGATATAACTCTTGGTTTTTCGTAAGAATGCCTTATCCTACGCTCAACATCACTTAGAAGCAAAAAGGGCCAATGGTAATTATGTTCTCCTACAGTATAAAAAAGTGCTTAAAAGAAAATGGCTGCCTCAAGGAGGGAGATGACAGCATTATTTCTGTAATGATTTTATGTCTAAAGAAACAATTAAGTGTAAAGCTACTCTGAAAATATTTTTCAAAATCTGTTAAGTATCAGCTTTATTTAAAAACATACAAATATTTTTGAAATGTAGAAATTAAGGTTGTTGGATTTTTAAAACTCTACATAAAACTGATACAACAAAGAAATCCATACTGGAGTAATCACTCACAACTTGCCAATTTCATCCACTAATTTAACGCTACAGTACTCAGGATAAATGAAAGGATTTAATATTGTCAATGGCTTAAAAAAACAGTCACTTGTAACATCCTACTATAATTAGCACAACCAGTTATGGGTTACCAGTACAAAGAATTTCAACAGAAAACTTAGAGCTTCCTTAGAACCAAAAATATAAACTGAGACAGTAAGTTAATGCAAATAGTCTACATCTGAGTTAAATACTCTTCTTGTGAATTTTAGCACTCAGCCGAATACAATCATGTTTTAGAGAGGGACCGTCAGTGGTAGCGGTACTTTGACCTGAGTCAGACTTTTATGGTTTGGGTTAGACTGACCAGCAGGGGAGAAGGCTCCCAGCAGGGGAGGTGATGGGGCTCAAAATTGGGATCACTTGCCAAACACCAGAACAATGAGGAGAACTGCATGTTAGAATAAAAGGACCTAAAAGGAAAACATTTAAAAAGTTAAAATTTATGTTCCAAAGCATGTAGTCATATCATGCTATAGGGAACCTGTTTTATAACAAGGTCCAGTCTGAACAATTCACATAAATGAGAATTTGGAGAACAAAGACACACCTTGGTTTGGCTGAGTGCATTTCCAGTGCAAACCTTTTCATTTTGTTAGGGCTCATGCTATACTAAAGGACTTTAGAACTACCTTTTTAAACAACACAATTACTTAATAATGAACAGCATTAGTTAAAATAGTTAACCAGGTAAAGCTCCCAGGTATCACCAATGACTTCCATGTTTCATTATTCAAGTATTCCTGAGAAAATAGTAAGAAAAAAAGCAGCTTCCACTACTTTTTAAAAGCTCTTTCTCAGAGGTTGTTCAGATTTTCCTAAATGAAACACACAGGCAAAAATGGAGTTAAAAGAAAAACAGAGGGACCACTTTCCACTTGAGCTAAGTGAGAACAAAACATAAATGATCTGCTATCAACTGCAAGGTCACATGTGACCCAAGAGTGAATGCACATGGTACCCTTTGCTAAGTGGAGGATGAAGAGCAACTACCCACTTAAAGTTATGTTACATCACAAGTGCAACTCACTTTGGGGAAAATAGTTTAATATATCTCTCAGAAAAAAATAGTTTATATTAATTTCCATCTCAATCAAAACAGTGGTTACGAAGTCCAGCGCCACCAAGCAACCTTCATTCTGTCCCATACTGCTGAAAGTGAATCCAAGGCGGGACGGACATCCAGGATGGTGAACTGGTAGTCCTTGTTGACTTCACCGCCATCGTAGTAATCAATGACGTATCTAACTTCTGTCCCACAGCGGTCAACGATCCAATCGTGCCTATCAAATGGCAACTCATACCTGGGATGAAAAGATGCTAGTGAGTATTAAAGTGCTGGCTGGGCATTCAGACCCAGTTTAAACAGTAAGAAAGATGGAGAAGATGCCCATGCAAATGCCTGCTCTCAGAGTCAAACAAGGAACTGGGAAGTGAGACTTGGAGACTCGCAGTCTAAATGCTAAGGGAATCACACAGTCTATGTTGCTGAAGAACTGTGATGAGTTCAGATCAGATGACAGCTCATCTGTCTACCAAGGAATAAAGACCACTGAAAGAGACCCAGGCCAAGAGGTCAGCTGAGATACCACAGAAGAGCAGGTGATTGAAGAATCTCAACTATGTTAGAAAGGAAGGGGAGGAACACTGAGCAGACAGATCCAAAGAGATTGATCCCAAATGGAATAAGAGGATATTTCCAAGAATATTTAAAAAATGCTCAGTTCAATCCAATGATAATGAAATAAGAGGCAAGCCTAGCAAATCTGCTCGTGAATGGACAAGTCTCAGGGAGAGGACGAAATCTACGGCTGAATAGTGACTACGTTTTAGAAGATGGCACTGCAGTTCTTAGACTGGTGCCAAGGGAAAGTCAACCCTACCGTGAAGAGTATAAAGGAACTGTTCTGCACTGACACTCACCCCATCCATGAGCGAATTCGTGCCCTTGGTGAATACTCTTTAGCCTTCCCTCCAAACCGGATCAACGATGGGCCACATGGGCACTCCCTAGAAATCCACAAATACAGAAAGTCTGTTAAAACACTTCCCTTCCTTTGACAAAGATGATGTTCCAGTTCTTCAATAATATACATTTTTTTTCTCTATGTTATGTCACATACTATCACACAGAGAACGTTAACTTCAAAATAACTTAAAGAAATATAATCCCTATCTGCTAAAACATTCCTCTTTACTTCTTGATCAAGGCCATTCCACTCTCTCCTTTACTTCCAGATACCTGTCCCATTCTATGCGTGAGTCATGGAACAGGGCCTTTCCATTTGGTGGAGGGGGAGAGGAACATTCCCAGAAACAAAAAAAGAAAGCCTTTTACTGTGTATCAGGCAGCTCTTTTGCATGGCAGGCCACCTATGTTGTTAGCTGCTCTCACTGCTAAGACAGACCATAGTCTTGAGTCATCTCTAAGTGAGATGGAGCAAGGAATGCAAAGTGCAGAGCCCCTTTTGGAGACTGGATGAGATCCCTTACTTCTCTTCTTGGGAACTGCTCCTCACCATTTCTGCCCAAGAGGCTCACAGGTTAAAAAGTAAACTCAACCTAGGCAAACCTCCTAGAGACTTGAGCCTGGTTTTTTTTGTTTTGTTTTGTTTTGTTTTGTTTTTAAGGCCTACTTAATTTTGACAGGACTCTGGAAAATGACTGGAAAGAGCATTGAAACTGACAAACTGACATTCCCTTCTTTCTCTCCCCTTTGCTCCATAATCACACTACCAATCCCGAGCAGGCAATTTTAATGAGAGCACACTTTCACCCAGGCCACTGCAGACACTGTGGCTCCCCCTCCTTAAGGAGCCAGGAAGGTTACTCCTGAAGGCTGCCGACATGGTTGCAGGGGGTCATCCCCCAGACATGTACCATCCCAGGCCCGGAGCCCAGTCAATGATACCAGAGAGTGCTACTAGTGAACTGCAGAGTGTAAATGTTAAAAACAAACAAAATGCCCTTAAAAAATAATCCAGTGGATTTTTGCCAAGAAAAAAAATTAATCACTTTGTGATGAATCTGAAATGGAAAGCTCTGATTATGATATAACCTGGCTCTTTGTGTAGGCAAGCCCCACCCCTACACATTTTGATATGTGGTCCTTGACCCAGAGCGGCAGCATCGCTCTAGAAACACCAAGTCTGGGCCCTGCCCCAGGCCCACTGAATCAGACATCCTGGGGTGGGGCCCAGTATGCTGAGTTAGAACAGACCTTCCAAGTGAGGCTGATGCATGCGTGAGAAGCGCTACTCTCAACAGACTGCATTGGTCCTGTCAGCACTACTATACACACCAATGCATTTACCTTTTCTCCTGACAAGGGCCCTGTTTTAAGGCTCTCTTTTGATTAGTCCTAATGGATTCACTAAATGCTGCTGAGGGAACAAAAATGCCTTTCCTATCTCCCATGGAGCAGGCAGCATTCCACCACCTCCCTTCCCATGTGCTTTGCTTTCAACTGACTGTGACATTCCTCCCTCTGAGATGGGGTCTCTGTCCCTTCTCCTTGAAAATGGGCAGGCTCATGATGGCTCTGTTTGCCAGGTCAGTAAGTGGTCGAGCCTACAGAGGGCTCTGGACCCCAGCTAGGAAGCAACCCTGACCATGTCTTGGCAGCCAAGGCCCCAGACTTCAGGGGGCAGAAATGAGCCATCCCTGCCCTGCCCTCTCTGCACACAGGACCCACTAACTCCATAGTCTAAAGAAAGGACTGCTTTTTTACACAACTAAGAAGGAGTAGACTGAATAAAGCAGATGGCACTCCCAATGTGACAGACACTGGAACATGCCTGCTACCTAAAATGTTTCATTAGAATAACAAATTATCTGAATAAAGTGTTAAAACTCTAGAAAGTTGACATAAAGTAAGAAAGATGCTGGAGGATTTTTTTTTTTAATCTCAAATGTACCTACTTGGCATGAAGGGCTTCCCACTTCAAAATCTCCTTCCAAGCCTGCTCGTTATTCTGATTATGAATTTTAATGATATTATACATGTCTTTTTGACTGATATCCTCCTCCTTCCACTTCCACCTAGGAAAGAACAGTTTATGAAAGCTGACAAATATTACAGATAATCTCAAAAGGTTAATTTACATATTCATACAACAAGGTGTTAAACATCACCCTTTATGAAAACTAAGAACGCTCACTTTCTTGGAATTTAATGCAGTTGAGACTCATTTCCAAGATTACTCATAGTATTATAAATCCAAAGCTACCATGTATACACTGGAAACCACTGTCACAGGTTACCTACGTCTTACCTCACTCAGTCACCAAACACCAGACTTAGGCAAACATCAAAAACCATATACTTTTAAGATGATACTTTTTCTGTTGGTACCACTGATGAATAATTCCCTAACTTTTTCTAAGCATTTTATATAATAGCATTTTTTTTTTTAGAGAACTCATTACTGGCTGTGAAGGTTAATTTTATGTGTCAATCTGACTAGGCCACAGGATGGCCAGACATTTGGTAAAACACTACTCTAGGTGTCTGCAACAGTGTTTCCAAATGAGATGAACATTTTTTAATCAGTAGACTGAGTAAAGCAGATGGCTCTCTGGATGCGGTAGACCCCAGAGAACTAATTGCAGGCCTGAGTGGAACAAAAAGGTCAACCCTTCAGCAAGTATGGAGGAACTTGTTTTGCATGACTGCTTGAACTGGGCCATGGTCTTTTCCTGTCTTTGACTAGAACTGAAGTATGTGAACTGTTCTAGGTCTCAAGCCTGCTGCCTTTTGGACTGGAACTATGGCATCAGCACTCCTGGTTCTCAGGCCTTCAGATTCAAGACTGGAACTACACAGCTTGCCAACTGCAGATCTTGGGACTTGTCAGCTTCCATAACCACATGAGAAAATTCCTTATAATAAATATCCTGCACCCTCCCACCTTCCTACACACACATTCTGTTGCTTGTTTCTCTGGAAAACCATGAGTAATACACTGACCTTGTACTTACAGATAGGTCTGGAAAAAAAAAAATCACTTGATTAGTATAGATTGATTACCTCATAAAACTTTTTATATGACTGGAAGTGAAAACTTTTTTTTCTTTCTTTTTTTGAAAGTTTTTTTTTTTTTTTTCGCTATGAGGCGCATGTGCTTGCCAGACAGATGGAGAGAGACAGAGAGACAGAAAGCTAGAAATCACCCCCCAGAGGGGATGGTCATGCCACAATCCCTTCTCCTCCATTCTCCTCTCGGGATCTTGGGCACGCACGCACACGTGCCCGGCGTGAGTTTTAAGCCACTGGGTCCGGGACTCGAACCGCGGTCGACTACGTGGGAGTCCAGCGACATAGCCATTAAGCTAACTGCTGGTTCCCAAGGAGTGAAAACTTCTTCAAGCATTTAATTCTGAAGAGCAAATTTACACTCCCCCAAATAGGTTCAATGACTTACCCTTTCCTTAACATTGCATTCCAGAACATCTGCTCAGAAGGATAAACCCACTTCTTCTCTGAATCTGCTCTCGGAATGGATGACTCCTCTCGGACAGTAGACAGTGCAAATGGCTGATCTGGGGCTGGTGTTTGATTAGGTGGTGGCATCAAAATAAAAGAAGCAGATTTGTTTTTTATGTGCTAGAAATATGATATACAGTAAAAACTAGTAATATAATTAACCACTTCCTGGAAAGCAATGTATTGAACACAAAGCACAGGCTCTTATGAGACCAGTGACATCAACATTTCAGACTTCAAAGATAATTTGGCTGTTTTAAAAAGTTAAAATACTGGCATTTTTCTTCACAGCTTAAGTTCTTATAAATGGTAAATGAACACTGTGATTAAAATTTCAGCTTAATTTTTCTCTGAACACATTTAAATGCAATTTCGCCATGGAATAAGAAGCAAAAACAAATAGTATGATCTGCAAGTGTTTCTAAAAATCTATGACAAGCTTTTCTAAAATGACTATCTACTCTTCTGAGGAAAAACCTTTGTATGTACAACATTTCAACATTTACTTTTTCAGCATTTACTTTTAGGATCCTGCTGTGTTTCCATCCTTTGGGCTGAGTGTCTGCACATCCACGTCCCCAGAAGGTGGGGAAGTCTGAAATCTCTTCTCCCAAATCTATGGGTCGCCAACACTATTATTCTAATGCCTAGCCTAGGTAAGGGCCTCTCATCCTTGGTACTCTTGACATATGGGGCAGGATGACTTTCAGTTATGGGGGTCTGAGCATTATACAGAGTTTAGCAGCAGCCCTGGCCTCTGCCCACTGTTAACCCTCCTCCCCAGTCTGACAACCAAAACTTTCCAGACACTGCCAACTGTCCGCTGGGGGCAGAACCCCCAGACTGAGAAGCAATGGCCTAGAACTTATTTCTATACTAGAGGTTTGGAGGATTTTCTAGTGGATACATGTGAATAATTAAAAGTCTCAGTTGCACCAGTTGGTGGCATGGTGGTTAAGGCAGCTGGATCCCACATGGCTGACTGTGCAGTTCAAGTCCAGATCCAGCAGTTTGAAAAACATGGTGAGTACATGCGAGTGCATCCCCAAAATCCCAAAAGGAGAGAGAGAGATGGAAAGTCTTTCACATCGCCTTGTTCTAGGAGATACAACCCACTGGTCCCTGACACTGCACCACAACTGATCTCCTCACAGGCCTTCAGATAGCTGGGCCAGGGATCATCAGCAAACTTTTTCTGTAAAGGGCCAAAGGTAAACAGTTTCAGTTCCATAGGCCATGCAGTCTCTGTCACACTACTCAACTCTGCTGCTGCTTTCCCTGTTGTGGGAAAGCAGTGCTGGGCAATGTCAACAAATGGGTGTGGCTATGCACCTACAAAGCCGTGTTTCAAAACTAGGCGGTGGGCCAGCTTTAGCTCATGGGTTTGGTGATTCCTGATGTGGACAGTGTGACTGTATCCCCAAACCCTTTCTTTTCCAGGCGAAATAATTTCTAGTTCCTTCAAATGTTATCTGGTTTGCTATAATTTTTAAATATTCTGTGGTCCTCCCAAGTACAGGCCCAAGTCTGTCTGTCTCTACCTTAACATGTGATTCCAAACATGAGACCATGATTCCCTCTGTGTTCTATTACAAAATACACTGAAGCCACATCTACCCTCTCATTTCTTGAAGGCATCAAATTTGCTGGCAGTCACAGGACAGACACTGACCACCCTGGTGATTCGTGTGCACACTGGAACCCAACTCTGCCTAAAATGGCACCCCAATCTTCTAATGTGCCTATGTGGATTCCCCAGACCAAAAAACTCCTTTCCTAACTCTAGCTGCACTTCTGGAACTTACTATCTACTACCCAATAACTTTCTCCCACACGAGAATATGCATTTGATACGCCTTATTCTTAGTCATCTATCCTGGTTCTTCATAAGCACTGTGTTCTTTCCCAAGTACTCTCTAAAATTATACTTAGTAGCACAGTCCAAATTTTTTATTGTGGATAGGATATCAAACTTCTTTGTTTTAAAAAGACAGAAAACTGTGCAGTTGAAGTTTCTAGTTTATTTTGGCAGTCTACAGAAGCATAAAAAGTTCCAGAAAGAAGGGATAAGCATGGATTACCAGATTTGAAGGATCTAAATTCTCCTTTCCAGCCATGGCACCCGTGACGGGACACTCCACATACTCGTATGCACGGTCCTGGTGGGCGGGTACAGAGTACTTCTTACTCTCACAGCTTGGGTCGGATGGTTCCATGCTCACTGGACAGCCTGAAATAATCATGTAAAAAACCATGTTTTACACTGTAAAAGAACCTTTTTAAGAATTATTTTATTTAACTTTATTTATTTATTTCAATTTGACCAGAGAGAGGGAGAGTGCGTGGGGGGTGAGAAAGCAAGCCACCACCCGGGACTCAAATTGTAGTTGGCCATGTGAGAGTCCAGCATCTTTAACCACCATGCCACCTGCCATCCCCAAGAATAAATAAATTTAAAAAAGGAATTATTTAATTTAATTTAATTAATTATTTTAATTTGACCAGAGAGGGACAGAGTGAGAGAGAGAGAAAGTGAGAAAGCAATCTGTCAGGTCTGGGACTCAAACTGTGGTTGGCCATGTGGGAGTCCAGAGCCCTTAACCACCACACCACCTTCCTGCCCCCCAAGATTTTTTTTTAACTTAAAATTATATATACTGGAGTTGGCAGGTGGTGTGGTCGAATTTAAAAAAATTAAATAACAATAGCAAATGGAATTAAATAAATAATTCTTTTTTAAAAAATTATATATATGATGTAAAGAAAAAAAAAAAAGAAAAACAGTGTCACCATGAAGGCAAGATATCTGGCTCTTTCAACTGAAGCTCAAAAGACCTAAATTTCTCACCAATGATTACCACTGCAGGAAAAGTCGGGTTTCCTTTGTTTAAATCCGCCAAGAGCTAAGCTATCTAACACTCTCAAATCCTAAAGATGAAGAGAAGATTCTATATATTTACCTTCCCTTTGAAAGAAAAATGGGTGCCCTTTCTCTAATTGTGTCATGATCCCCAGCAGAAGTAATGAAAAACTTTCAGCAGTTGCAGGAGCACGCATGTACTGTCTATACCATGGTTTTAGTCATGGGCTGGCAGACACCTGCCTAGACTAGAAGCTGGGCCTGTTAGAGGAACCTAGTGGCAGAAGCACATCTCACCAGGTGTCTGACTTCCTAGTCCCTGGTTCCAGACAAGCCAGCCCTGTTAGACATGGCTGCAGGCCAGGCTTTCCTTCCAGATATGTTCTCTCAGGTATTGGGGGCAGGAGAAGCAAAGCAGCAGAAGAGACTTCATGAAGGCAACTGGAGAGAAATCTGAAACACCACTGTGTTTTCACTTTCTTCCAAGACTAAATCAAGTTCTGGGATAATTGCACGTGCTGCTCCCCATCAGTGGGCAGTAAGAGTTCACCATGAAGAGGCAGGCATTAATCATCCCACAATTCATGTAGTATCCAGAGGCTTCTTTTTTTTAAAGAGTTATTTCATTTTATTTATTACTATTTTAATATGCAATAGGGCAGAGGCTTCTTAAGAGAGATCTGAGGTTACTGACCTGAGCAGCAGGAAGGACAGTCTTTGCCTGAGGATCCAGCATGCTGATCCCAGCAAGGGCACAGGCAGAAGAGCCAATCTGATACTTAGGAGAGCAGGCAAGCACCTAGAGAGCCAGGGCCTGGGACTGGCTCATGTAAAGAAACCCTTGCCTCAGGCAGCAGCAGAAACTGCAGAAATATGCAGAATGTTGGCTGCCATCCATAGGAAAGATGAGCTTCCTTTCCCTTTCCTCCCTGTGCCTCTCCTCTCAGGCCATCATTCCCCAGGACCTCATGCAGCTGCTAACTGCTCACTGCCCACTCTAGGGGTGAAGGAAGACCTGCTGCACCTTCCCTCTCTACTATTAAAAGTACTCATCTTTTCCAGGTCTCTGATCCTAGCTAGAGGTTAGAAAGGACATGTTTACACTTTTTACACTAACCTTTTTCACCAGTAATCCTTTCAATCTCTTACATATACCCACAGTCTTTACTAATGCAATAAAATTGACAGCTAGCAAATGAAATCAAAGAGATAGGCCTCTATGGCCTCCCCAGGGATGCTCAGAGCAGGAGCACACCTGCTTTGTTGGATCTGCCTCAATTAGTGCTGTGCAAACAAACCCTGGCAGAGCACTGCATCTGTCCTTGTCCAAGGTCACAGAAGCTTTGCTGACTTTCTGCTTCCTAGTTGTGTGACTTGGAGCATATCAGTTACCCTGAGCCTTAGCTTGTTTGACTGTAAAAATGGTGAAAACCTACTATACAGGATTACAAAGATGAGAATGCAAACTCTAACAGGCAAAGTATTTTTGTCTATTTTGTACAGTTATCCTCTCAGTGCAGAAAGAGAATCTAGCACTGCTTAATACAGAATGGGCAATGACTTAAGAGTGGGTCAAGAGGATGAATGATCAATGGCACAAGCATCCCTCTTGACTTACTGATTCAAGCCATACTTTAATCCATACAATCAAAAGTGGACATGCACTAATTAAAGATGAAAGCTGTTCCATTCTCACCTCTGCACCTAAAGAATTGACTACAAGTCCACTAGGTGATGGCTTATTTTTACATAGAAGATAGCTGCAATGAACGCAGGGGCAAAGTTTATCTATCAGGATAGTTAAATATGGACCAAAGCTTTTCAATCTTGGCAAACTTGACATCTGAGATCAGATGATGCTTTGGTGAGGGCCTGGCTATACTGGGCACTGTAAGATGTGTAGCAGGATCCCTGGCCTCTCCCCAGTAGATTTTTCTTTCCTCTCAATTGTGCCATGAAAAAATGTCTCCAGACATTGGCAAATACCTCTCCCCATTACTCCATCACAACTCCCTGCCCAAATGAGAACTGCTGAAGTATGCACAAGTAAACTTTGGGGGTTGGGGCTGATTTAGAGAGCAATCATTATGCTTTCATGCGTTATCTCCATTAACCACAACTACCCTGTGAAATGATACTATACTCTCATCTTATAGATGATGGACTGAGACTTAAGAGACAAAACTGTCTATAGCCACGTATCTCAGAAGTGGCAAAATAAAGACTGGACCCAGGATGTCTCCTCCCACATCTATGAGCCTCACCAGCACACTATACTGCTTCATCCTTTAAAACCTTTTGAGACTTATTTTTCTTTTCTGGATAAAGGGTCAATTACCTTTTATCTTCCCTTCATGCATTGGGCATCCAGAAGGTGGGGATGCTCTTTGATGATCTGAAGCATTTGAGGTCTGAACTGCAACAGGAGTAGATGCAGACAAACCCATGGCTGGAATCACAGTGTCAACTCTAAACAATTCTAAGTTTCCACCTGCCAGAGTAAAGAGACAGATTAATGTTGAAGCCTGGGCTCAGACTATTGGCTTGTTATTTATTTTTTTTTGGAGAGGTTTTTGCTATAGGGCGCATCTGCTCGCCAGAGACAGAGAGAGAGAAAGCGAGAAATCACCCCCCAGGGGGGATGGCAACACCGCAATCCCCTTCTCCTCCATTCTCCTCTCAGGATCTTGGGCATGCATGCATACATGCCTGGCATGAGTTCAAGCCACTGGATCCGGGGATCGAACCGCAGTCGACTACATGGGAGTCCAGCAACATAGCCGTTACTCTAACTGCTGGTCCCTGGCTTGTTATTTTTTTCATCTGCCCATCCTCTTTGTCATTCCATGGGAACTTGGCAGGGTACCCACTTTAAGGAGCAGGTTTAATATATTGACACCTTTGGGAAATACTATTAAATGTATGTCACCCTCTGGGGATACGTTTCTTAGGGAGTGGGAGTTTGGGGGTGAAGGTGGGCAGTCTCTGAGAAAACACGTCGCAGTGAAGGGCTGCAAGGCCTGAAGGTGGTGATCCAGACGGGGGAGGGGAGGCCCAGTGTGCCCTGACTCCGACCCCGACCCTGGGGCCCTAGCTAACGGATAGGGGTCGGAAAAGTGTGCAGCGCGGAAACAGGGATTTGAGGAAGGAAGGAAGGAAGGATGGATGGATGGAAGGGCCAGCGGAGGGCGGGACGCTACCAAAGTCTTCACTGTATGGTCTCTGCCAGTCCCACCTGCTCTGGCCCGTCTGTGACCCCCGATCCTGCCAGCCCGGTCAGCCCGCCCTTCCGCACCTGATTCCTGCTCCGGGCGGCTGCCCCTCCTCTAACCGACCTCGAGCCGAGAGCGCCCGCGACCTCCCGCGGCCGCTGCCGTCTTTCTCTGTCTCGCTCGGTCACCGCTGTCGCCGCGGTCACCGCGGGTTCTCGCGCGCCGCTACTTCCTTTTCCGAAGGCGGGACTTCCGGAGGCGAGGGGGCGGGGCGAGGGCTGAAGAGAAAGGGCTTTCTGACGTCAAGTCGCGCCTCCCTGGCTCCTCGACCTGAAACGGGAGGGTGGCTCTCTGGCTCCGCCCCTCGGGGCCAGGCGCCTTTTTCAACATTCCAGGGCTGACAGGGAGGGTTTAGTTTGGTCCAATTCGAGTGAAGCTCTCTGCTATATATGCTTTAAGCAGCAGAGGTGTTGCTTTGAAGGAACTTATTTTTTTTCCAAATTGCCTGTGTTCACAAGAGAGAGACACGGGACAGAAACAGGAGGGAAAATGCTCCCCCCCAGGGGCGTGGTCATATAGCAGTCCCTTCTGTTTTTCCTTCTTGGGATTTGGGGCCTGGCACGTTTTCCAAGCCCCTAAGGTAGGGATTCCAACCATGGTTGACCACGTAGGCTCTGCCTTCTTTGACCACCAGCTCACTGCAGGCCTCCCTTTTTTTAAAAAAGTTTTTTTTAATTTCTTCCGTGAATGAGAGAGTAAAGAGAAAGGAGAGAGCCAGTGTCCCCAGCAGGGCTCTGACTGCATTCTCCTCCAAGCTTCATCCAGCCCTGAATCATGGGCAAGCCATGCAGGGCATACCAGGTAGGTGTCTGGAAGTGAACCCTGAACCGGCCCATGTGGGTCAACCTCACAGTATCATCTTCTACCACAGGACCACCATCTGATCCCTAAAGTTTTCTGTTTTTTAAAAATGTTATCCTGTTAGCTTTAAGTATATCAATGATTCTGGAAACATTAGTAGATGGTCAGAACGGTAGCTATCCCCAGAGATCCAAAAGCAGAAAGGTCTGCATACTGGTGGCCAAGGCCTTAACTGGGTTGTGGACTTGGATGTCTGTATTTTCAATTATCTATGACTGAAATTTAGCATTTCGTTCCATTTGAAATGTAGGCAACAAATCCCAGTAGTATCAACTATATGTGGCACTAATGGCAATCACAGGTAAATTATGGGACATAGTGGTGTCGCAAATACCATTTACCAGTACTTTGAGATTAAGATAATTTGATATTGTTATTATGTAAAGTGTTAATAAAGAAATGTATGTGAATTCATGAAGTACACTTAGTTTCCCCTTTCAGGGCCAGGATGGCCATTCTACCCTCTTCCCTCTGTGCTGGAAGTGTTGGTGCATGACAGCTGTCAGATAACTCTCCAGGTCTTGCCCTTTGCCTTAAAAAACTTCCTTATGAAAACTCATATTTCCTGCTTGAGGACAGGCTGCATCCTGTGAGTGTTCTCTGTAAGGGTACCTAAGCCCAAGCGCCATAGCCTGGAGGGGGACAACTCAGAAAGGCTACCCCAGTTTCAGACTGCCTGTAAGATCAGCTGAGGATTGTACGAAAGACAGGGAGTCATTGGAGGGATATGAACATTGTGGTATAAAACAGAAAACTGTGGGAAAGAATGAAGAATTGTGGCCATGACAGAATTGTGCAAGTGCTAGGGAATTGTGGGAAAGTATAGACAATTGTGGACAGATTGAGAATTGTGGGAAAGTAGAGAATTGTGGGAGACAGTAAATTGTGGGACAGACAGGGAATTGTGGGAGAGAATGGAGAAATATGGGAGACATGAAGTATAGTGGGAAGACTATGGAATTTTGGGAAGGATTAGAGAATTGTGGGAGAGGCAAGGATTTGTGGGAGGACTATAGAATTTTTGGAAATTGCCACTACATTACTACATCACTGTTCAACTTCTCCCTTTGTTCACAATTCTCTTGTTCCTCCCATAAATCCCGCTTTCTCCCACATTTTTGTTCTTTCTTACAAATCCTTCTGTCTCCCACAGTTCTGTCAGTCTTGCAATTCTCTGTTCTGTCTGATAATTCCCTATTCTTTCCCACAATTTCACCTATTTCCCATAATTTGTCTCCATAATTCATTGTTCTTTCCCACAATTCAACCATGTCTCTAATCATTCTTTGTTCTCTCCCACAGTTCTGTACATAATTTCTCTTCAAATCTCCAATCTCTCCCAGAAGCCCCCCCCTTCAAAGTTCCCTCTCTCACTACTCAGTCCTTTTACAACCCTTTTGTGTCCTATGATTCAGTATCTCCCATAACTATGTTTTCACACAATTTTCTGTGTCTCCCATAACTCTTTATCATCCCTCACAATTCTCTGATTTACCCACAATTCTCTCATCTTTCTTTCCCATAGTTCCAAAAATAATTTTTATCTCTCACAATTCTCCATTCTCTTACAATGCTGTTCTTTTTCATAATTCCCTGGTTTGTCCTCCAATTCCATATTCCCTTTCACAATTTTGTTTTCTCTCAATATGCCAATCTTGACTACAATTCTCCATTCTCCCCTAATTTTTTCCTCTCTCACACAATTCCCCATCTTTCCCACAATTCTCAGTCCCATTTTACAGTTTCAAAGAAGATCAAGGCCTAGTCCTGCAACTCTAAAGTTTCTAAAGATCACATCTAGAAGTAGTGCACTGAAAAAAGATGGGAGTAGCATGGTAATAATAGGTAAACTGAACATGGCTTTGGAGAGGAATTTTGTAGAGCAACATGAGTCACCATGTACCTAGCTAGGCAAGAGGTATCAATATAGTCTGGCCTAGAGGAGTGGAATATTTGATCTTTTCTTCTCTGTGTTAATAGCTTGTAGTGGATTTGGTTTCCTAATTGCTATGGTTTGATATGTCCCCCAGAAATTTATGTGTTGGATATTGACCATATTATCTGCATAGTAAAAGTTTTAAGTGAAAACAATGTCTTCATTGTGTCCCTGGGTAAGGCCTAGTGGGCAGTGATTGGTTCATGGCAATCACGTAATGGAGGCAACAGTCTCATGAATAGATTAATGAGTCTCATGAGACCCAGTGAGTTCTGGCTGTCATGAAAAGGCATTAGTTCTCACCAGCACTGGTTATTTATTATTATTATTATTATTATTATTATTTATACATTCAATCGCTATACATCATTTAGATTGTAAAGAGACATTACCCAACATGATATACACCTCAGTCTGGCCCAGTTGAGAATACTATACACATCCTCATCAATAGATAATAAACCATATCTATGTTCCACAAATGTCTTAGCTCTCTATTTTCCCCCAAATTTCCTTTCCTATGTTCTTCCCCACCCACACTCTCCTTCCACTTTGTTGCTAGTGTGCATAACAATTTTTAATGTTTTTATGTTCTCCAGACTTGCAGTCTCTACCATAGAGTGCAGACAGTCGGTATATGTTAAGTGGAGACATGCAATGTCTATCTTTCATAGCCTGACTTGCTGCACTCCGCAACAAATCTTCCGTATTTATCCACTTTCTATCAAATTCCAAGACCTTGTTGTTTTTTATGGCTGAATAATATTCCATGGAGTATATGTGCCACACTTTTCAATCCAAATCATCTGTTTGTGGACATGTTTGTTGGTTCCATGTCTTAGCAATGGTAAATAATGCTACAATAAATACAGTTGTGCAAGTGCTTTTTTGACTGAGCATTCTCCTGTCCTTTGGGGAGATATCCAGGATTGGAATTGCTGGATCATATGGTAGTTCTATTTGAAGGTGTTTGAGGAACCTCTATATTGTTCCTCACAGTGGCTGGACCAATTTACGTTCCCACCAACAATGTAAGAGTGTTCCCCTTTACCACATCCCCTCCAGCACTTATCTTTTTTTTTTTTTTTTTTAAATCTTAATCATTCTCACTGGAGTTAGGTGGTATCACATTGTGGTTTTGATCTGCACCTCCCTTATGATGGGGTATGTTGAGCATTTTTTCATGTTTTTTTTTTTTTTTGGCTGTTAGTATGTCTTCCTTAGAGAGTTGTTTATTCAGCTCATTTTCCCACCTTTTAATTGGGTTGATCACTTTCTTCCAGGTAAGCCATTTGATTTCCCTGTGTATTCTGGTTATCAGTCCCTTATCTGAGGGACAGTTAACAAAAATTCTCTTCCATTCCAAGGGCTGTCGATTCACACTAATTACAGTCTCCTTTGCTGTGCAGAAACTTCTTAATCTAATGTAATCCCACCTGTCTATTTTGGGGATTATTGCCTGTGCTTTGGGGGTCTTATTTAAGTTTTTGCCTACCCCAATGTCTCCCATAGTTTCCCCAGTGTTTTCCACCAGTGGTTTTATAGTTTGTGGTCTTAGGTTTAGATCTTTTTGAAAAAATTATTTTATTCAATTTCATTTATTCATTTATTCATTTATTTTAATTTGACCAGAGATAGAGAGGAAAGTGAGAAAGCAAGCCACCAGGTCCAGGACTTGAACCATGGCCGGCCATATGGGAGTGTCCAGTGCCTTAACCACCACGCCACTTGCCAGTCCCAGGTTTAGATCTCTGATCCAGTTTGAGTTGATTTTTGTTAATGGTGGCAGATAGGGGTTCAGATTCATCTTTCTGCAGGGGGATACCCAGTTTTTCCAGCACCATTTGCTAAAGAGGTTTTCCTTTTCTCACTGGATTGACTGGTACCCTTTGTCAAAGATCAGTTGGCTGTATGTTTGGGGGTTTATTTCTGAGTTCTCTATTCTGGTCCATTGAGGACCAGAGTTGATTATTGTAAAAGAGTTAACAGTAAAGAACTCTCTGTCTCTCTGCACATGCTTGCCATCCTTTGTGCTTCTTTCAGCCATGCTATAGGCCTAGGACTTTGGACCCCTCACCACCAGAATCATAAGTTTGTTAATAAATTTCTATCTTTATAAAACCACCCAGGTCAGGTATTACTGTTAGCAATGCAAGAATGGACTAAGTTGCTAAGGTTTACTGATATTAAAGATAAATGGGACAACCAATTGGATGTGTTAATGAAATTTCCAGTGGATTTTTTCTTTTCTTTTTAAAGCCTAAGTTGTAACCAAGAACCTTCCAACATCATTATTCTTTTGAAATTACCATCTTACCTAATAAAGAGAAAGTTAATATGAAGTAATTAAGAAGAAGGAGAAAAAGAA